GGAAGAGGGAGAGAGGGGGAGGAGCCGCTGAGCCCACCCCGATGGCCGCGGACGAAGTTGCCGGAGGGGCGGGCAAAGCCACGAAAAGCAAACTTTTTGAGTTTCTGGTCCATGGGGTGGTGAGAGGGGGAAAGTTAGCGGGGGAGGGCGAGCGAGCTGGCTCGGGCTGAATGGAGGGATGATCGGGAAGGGCCGCCGGCGCGCTCCCGCTCTCCCACCCCTTTGGTTGGGGGGCGCACGGTCACGGCCCAACCCTGGGACCTTGCCGGCGCCCTGGCATCCGAACACGTCGCCAAGCGGTCGGCTGGGGATGGGCGCGCGGCGGCAGGGAAGAGAGGCGTCGGCTTGGGCTCTTGTCAGGGGCAAGGGGTGGGATGTGGGCACCGTGCCCCCCAAGAGGTGGGTCCCCTCTGTAGCTGACACGTCGCCCGTTCTTTTTTACTGGTGGGCCCAGGTGTTACCCCTGCCCTGGGGTGGGGGTGGGGTGGCGACTGGAACACACAACTAGGGTTGGGCTGCCTGTTGTCCTGTTCATCCACAGGGGCAGTGTCACTCTGACTGGGTCTGAGGAACTAGGAGCAGGTGACCCTGGAGGCACCTGAGAGCAAAAGCTCCCTGGCTGAGCAACCTCTGCAGCCTAGCAGGAGGGTCCTGAGGACTTGGCCCTGCTGTCAGAGCTAAGAGAGGCCTACTTAAGAGATGGACCCCAAGTTAAAGGGGTCAGGGGATCCCTTGGCAGGCTCAGCCACCAGAAGTTGATGACCTTAATACCTCAAAGGTGTGAAGGGATGGAGTTGGGGACATGAGGCCTAGAGATCAAAGGGTTAACACTATAGTGTCCTGCCACAGACATGTGAAGGCACACGAGGGACCTGAGGGTTCCAGGGACCTGAGGAGGGAGATGACTGGGTTGAGTCAGTGGAGAGCCTGGCTGTAAGGCGCTCCAGGCTTGGGGATATGTGATAGAGGGAAAAATCAGTCAAATTTACTATGGCCAAATTTGGTTGTGACTCCAAGAAGCACCTCCTCAGTGAAAGAGGCAAGGGCCCCCAAAACCTTGACCTCTTGTGATTGTGGTGCTGGTGGCAGAGCCCCTGGAAGCCCCTTCCTCTCAGTAAACCAGACAGTGTGGGTGGCCTTGATGAGTAGCAGGGCAGCTGATAGGGAGGAGGGCTTCCCTGTGGCAGCCTGCCCTCTAGCCACAGGGATCTCTGGGGTGCAGTTCCCAAGGCAGTCCTGTGGGTTAGTGGAGTTACCAGTCCTAACCTAGCTGCCTGGGGGAGTTGCTTTACAGAGTCCCATTCAGTGAAGAGGAGGCTGCCCATGTGGATTTGAATATGGCCAACTTGGAGGGTCAGTCCTTGAGTGATCAAGGCCCCCTTATTAGTAGTGGGGAATGACTAGGCCTGGCCTTCCACCCTGGTGGCACTGGTGGTATGAGTGACAGAGTCAGGTGGAATGGGGGAGGCAAACTCAGGAACTGGCCGGTTACACTACAGAAGAGATGGCCAGGGACAGCTGCTGGTAGAGGGTGGTAGAGGGTGGAGACCTTTGGTCTGAGCAGTCGGGGTTTCTTGGTTCTGGGGTGAGATGAGGAGTATTTTGTATTTGTTTATTGTGTATTGAGGCAGGGTCTCCTGTAGCCTAGGCCTCGAACTCACTATATAAGGGAAGATGGTCTTGCTCTTTCTGTCCCCACCTTGAGATTGGGATTACAAGTGCAGTTTCTTTGGTGCTGGGAATCGAACCCTGGGCTTCACATGTATTGGGCAAGCACTACACCAAGCTACATCCCTAGCCTGAGATGAGGGTGTGTAAATAGTAGGGTCTGCACCCCCACATCACCTCCTTGTTCCTGGTTAGCCCCTAAACCTCAACTCCCTTTCCAGGCCTGGACAAGTGGACTCTGGAACACCCCGCTTGCGTTTACACCTCTTCTGTTTTGATTGACTGCCCAGAGGTGGTGGCTGGGGAAATACAACCTGCCTCATTTCCCTCCAATTTGTACCCTTACTAGGATGGGGTGGGTACTGGGTTCTCTCTCTGATGTAGGCAGATGGGAGGGAGATGTGGCTTCCTTCAACCATCCCTGCCCTCTGGCAGCCCACTTCTAGTCCAGTTCCCCACTTGCCACTCGGAAAAGCTCAGACCCTCGGGTGCCTTTGCCCAGCCTCTTGTATCACCTTGGGAGAAATGAAATTAAGGAGGCAGACTAAGTCAGAGACCTGGAGTCAGCTGAAGGGGTTATTTGAACACCAAGGGTCCAAACCAGGGGTGCTGAAAGGGAGATGGGGGCTCACATACAAAGCCCCAGAAGTGGGCTGTAGAAAGCAGGAAAGCAGCGGGGAGCAAGGCCCGTCAAGGTGCTGCCTTTGTCGGGATGAACGGGGTGACCTTGGCGAGGTCGCTTTTTCTCTTTGAGCCCCAGTTGCCCCATCTGTCAATTGGGGATAAAAAAGACCGGCTCTGGCTGGCTTGCAGAAGACCGTGCCTGCCGATGTGAACATCCTTTGAAAGGTTGAAAGGCGCCATTAATATTCATTTTTGCGGTACCTTGCACGGCTCCGAGGCTCGGCTATGCCCTGGGCAATTGCCTGGCTTCAGTTAGCTTCCTGCAAGGGGCAGGCAAGCCCCCTCCTCCA